CCCGCAACCAGGTACATGCCCTTGACCGGAATCGAACCCGGGACCCTTGAGTCCACAGGCCGACGCTCTATCCGCTGAGCCAAACCAGTTAGGGCATGCCTGTTTGTTTTTAAATTTGAGGAGAACACGTGTTTGCCACAGTGACCTTCTAAAGAGAAATAGACATCGATGGGTATCTTTAGGAACCACATTTGAAATCTTTTTCTTTTTTTTTTTTTAATTTATTGATTTTATAGAGGGAGAGAGACGACAGAGAGAAACATCAATTTGTTGTTCTACTTATTTATGCATTCATTGGTTGCTTCTTGTATGTGCCCTGACTGGGGGTCAAACCCACAACCTTGGTGTGTCGGGACACTGCTCTAACCAACTGAGCTACCCCGCGAGGGCCACATTTGAAATCTTTACTGACTCACTATATAAAGTAACCAACCTCAGATTTATCTTGTTGGATGAGCTTATTCTACTATTACATTACTAGAGGCCTGGTGCATGAAAACTCATGCACTGGAGGGGGGGACCCTCAACCTGGCCTACTCCCTCTCACAGTCCAGGAGGCCTCAGGGGATGTCCCCCAGGGAGCAGGCCTAAGCCTGAGTCTGGCCTCCCTCTGCAGGAGGCAACCGGGCCAATCAGGGGAAGGCACCGCCTCCATCACCCCACCGCTGCTGCTGCCTCTGGCCTCCCTCTGTGCGAGGCGACCGGACCTATCAGGGGAAGGCGCCGCCCCCATCACCCCTCTGCTGCTGCCACTGCCAGCCGCCGCAGCTGCTGGCCCTCCTCTGCCCTCACAGCCACCGCAGCTTTTGTCCGAAGAATGTCTGGAAGACGTCCGGTCTATCCGGTCTAATTAGCATATTACCCTTTTATTAGTATCAGTGGTTCTCAACCTTCCTAATGCCGTGACCCTTTAATACAGTTCCTCATGTTGTGGTGACCCCCAACCATAAAATTATTTTCGTTGCTACTTCATAACTAATTTTGCTACTGTTATGAATCGTAATGTAAATATCTGACATGCAGGATGTATTTTCAGGGGTCGCGACCCAGAGGTTGAGAACCGCTGGATAGATGATTCAGTACTTCTTTATAAGACCATTATGGGACCTGAAAACATCCCATAACATAGTGTCCTTAAATACCACTTCTACTTCTGCCTCAGATCTGCAGAATGGTAAGTCTGACACACCATTAGGATTGCTAAATTGTGATTTATTTATTTTTAATCCTCATCTGAGTGTATGTTTTTCATTTATTCTAGAGAAAGAAGGAGAGAGAGTAACATCTATCGGTTGCCTCCTGTACACACCCTTGACAGGGGATCTAGCCTGCAACCTGGGTATGTGCCATGACTAGGAATCAAACCCACATCCCTTAGGTGCACAGGACAATGCTCAACCAACTGTGCCACATCGGCTAAATTATATGTTTTTAAATACAAATTGATCATGTACGAAGCATCTTATTTCTTTTTAAAAAAAATTACTTTTTGTTGATTTCAGAGAGAGGAAAGAAGAGAGAGAAACATTAATGATGAGAGAGAAACATTGATTGGCTGCATGCCCCCTACTGGGAATCGAGTGCACAACCCGGGTATACCCTGACCAGGAATCCAACTGTGACTTCCTGGTTCATAGGTCAATGCTCAACCACTGAACCACACTGGCTGGGCAGCATCTTATACCTTTTTAAGTAATCATTAAGTGGATGCAGTACTTAATATTTCACACATATCTTGAAATATAAGTGCTTCTTAAAGATCTTTTAAGGTATTCAAATACAGCACATTTTTGTGAGAGCCCACTAGGTAGGCATTAATGCTAAGTGCTTATACCTGCTCTTATTTCATGAACAACCTTATAAATAGGAACCATTATCTTTTTAGATATGAGAAAACTTAGTGTCAGAAAAATTAAAATGACTTGTCTAAGTTACTGTCTAGTGCAGGGGTGAGGAACTTTTTGTCTTGCCAAGGGCCATTTGGATATTTATAACATCACTTGTGGCCCATACAAAATTATCAACTTAAAAATTAGTATTTGGTGAAACATTTAATTAACTCATCTCTAATGCCTTGGCAGGGCCAGACCCAATGACTTTTTGGGCCTTATATGGCTCATGGGCCAGATGTTCCCCACCCCTGATCTAGAGCTAGATATTAGCGGAGACAAAATTTGAATTCAGGTCTCAAAAGAGAAACATCTTAAAGTAAAATTTTTTAAAAAATATTCATTTTAAAATTATACATTACCGAAAGGTGAAGAATAGCAATTTAAGTGAAGCAATTATATTTTTTTAATGCAAAGGATGTTTTTTAAAACTCAAAATTAGAAGAGAGAACTCACAGAATGGAATAAAATATTTGCAAATCATATCTCTGATAAAGTACTTGTATATAGAATCTGTAAAGAACTCCTACACAAAACACAAATAACCTAACTTTAAAGTGGGCCAAAGACCCAAATAGACTTTCCTCCAAAGAAGATACACAAATGGCCAGTAAACACATGAAAAGATGCTCAGCATCATTGCCATCAGGGAAATGCAAATCAAAACCACAATGAGATGCTATTTCATACCCATTAGGATGGCTATCATCAAAAAGACAGATAATAACAAGTGGTGAGTATGTGGAGAGATTCAAACCCTCATACACACGCTAGTAGGAATGTAAAACAGCGCAGCCACATTGGCTAATAGTCTGGCATTTCTCAAAGGTTTGAACAGTTGCCCTGGCCCTGACCAGTATGAATCAGTGGTTAGATCATCGCCCGTGCGCTGAAGGGTCCTGAGTTCAATTCCCAGTTGAGGGCCTGTACCTGGTTATAAGCTGGATCCCTGATCAGAGTACGTGCAAGAGGCAACCAATCAATGTCTCTCTCTCACATTGATTTTTCTCTCTCCCCTCCCCCTCCCGCCCCTCCTTCCCTTCCACTCTCTAAAAATCAATGGAGCAGAAAATATCCTTGGGAGAGGATTAACAACAGCAAAAACATCTGCCCTGACCAGGTTGCTCAATTGGTTGAAGTGTCGTCCCGTACACCAAAAGGTTTCAGGTTTGATCCCCGGTTAGGGCACATACCTAGGTTTCAGGTTCAATGCCCAGTCAGGGCGCATACAGGAGGCAACTGATCAATGTTTTTTGTGTGTTTTTTTTCTTTCTCCCCCCTCCACCCCCCCGCTCTCCTCCCTCTTACCTTCCTTTTCTCCCTCCCTTCCTTCCTTTCTCTTTAAAAAAATCAAGTGATATCTCTGGTGAAGATTTTTAAAAAATATTTTTATCTGTTTAAACAGCTACCATATGACCCAGCAATTCCACTCTTAGTATATACCCAAGAGAAGTGAAAACAGGTCCACACAAAATCTTGTACGTGAATGCTCATAGCAGCATTAGTCATAATAGCCACAAAGTAGAAATAACCCAAATGTTCATTGACTGATGAATGGATACACAAAATGTGGTCTATCCATACAATGGAGTATTATTCAGCCAGAAAAAGGAATGAAATACCGATACATACAACACGTGTAACCCTTGAGAACATTATGTAAATGAAAGGAGGCAGGCACAAAAGGCCACATACTGTATGATTCCATTTATATGAAATGTTTAGAACAGGCAAATCTTTTGAGACAGAAAATAGGTGAGTGGTTGCCTAGAGGTGGTAGGAAAGGGGGAGGAGGGGTGACTGCTTGGGTACAAGGTCTCTTGGGTGATGAAAATGTTCTAATAGTGATTGTGTGAATAGTTGCACAATTCTGAATATACTAAAAACCACTGAATTATACACTGTAAATGGGTGAATTATATGTGTTATTAAAACTAGAGCACACCCAGTATAGTGCCCAATTTATGTCTCAGACAGCTACTAAATTATGAGAAATGAGTAATTGTTAGGTTTGTTGGCCTTACCTAGTAAATGGACCTGCTAGTATTCTTTCCATCTAGGGGTGACATGAAGAAGTTACAGGACACTAAGGGTTCAGAGAACCAAACAGTCGGTAATCTCTACCATAAAACATGAACCTCCCAAGTTGTACCTGCATTTTTATCTCTACATGAACCCATTCTCACACTTTTCTTCTAGGATCAAAGGAAGCGATATCTCTTGGTGTGGAAACGATTTCTCCATCATGCTCTCGTAATAAGTCCCTCTTGTCCCCTCTAGGACAGCAGGCTCCAATAGTGACTTACCTACCATGTCTCCTGGGCAAACTCCCACCCTGCACTGCTCCCACCTCCTCCCATGCCCTATAAGCATGCCGAGCAAGGACAGTAGCTGCAAAGAGGAAACAGTGGGCAGTGTGCCCGAGAGTTTGGCCATGTTGTGGCAGTGGTCAACAGAATTGCTCTTTCTCCACTGAAAAACAAAACCTCTACCTATCGTGCCATCTCTTGGGTCCCAGCCTTAAAAAACTCAGAGCTGACTCCCACCCTCATATAAATATAGCTCCACATGTGCTGTTTTAATTCTCTTAGACTCCAGGGAGAAGACAAATGTGGGTTCCAGTCCACATAATGAAGGAAAAACATAGGAAGAAAATGAGAGAATCGGTTGTCACAAGGCTGTGACATCCTGTCACTCACAGACACGGAACCGGTTGAATTATTAGAGTATTCTTAGCACTGCACCCGGATGAGGACACCACTTTTTGTAGATAGAACCAGCTTTATTTTTCACTGTAAACCTCCCCCAGTTATCGGTTCAATGACAGCCTGTCCAAGCCCAGTCAATAGTGTAGGTTTTATCTCTTCAGAGATTAGAGAAGGGCATTAAAGCTTGATAACTTCAATAACAGTTTCTAACTGCGTTCAAGCTTGATAACCTCAATAACAGTTTCTAACTTACTCCCTCTGAGGACCTTAAACAGGAAAGAGAGAAGGAGAGTGAAGGGAAGAGATATCCGTCATCTGAGCTGGCCACACCGCTGGCTGCCCAGTGGCCTACTACCATGTGCTTCTGTGGAGTTATGTCTGGGGGCCTGTGACCCAAAGTAAGATGTATTTGTTAACTTAAAAATCCATTGTACGCCTGGCCAATGTGGCTAAGTGGTTGAGCGTTGACCTATGAACCAAGAGAATCTAGGTTCGATTCCCAGTCAGGGCACATGCATGGGTTGTGGGCTCGATCCCCAGTAGGGCGCATGCAGGAGACAGCCAATCGATGTCTCTCTCTCTCATTAATGTTTCTGTTTTTCTATTCCCTCTCCTTTCCTCTCTCTCTCAAAAAAAAAATCAATACAAAATCTTTAAAAAGTAAAATAAAATGAATAATTTAAATTCTGCAATAATTTCATTGGTGGAGAGGATATCAATAACATAAATCATTGTAAGATTATAAATTTCATCTGTATTTTAACAATTGAGGCCAGAGACGATATTTTATATACCTTACTATTGATCTAGATATGTGCATAGCTAGAGTTTAATATCTAATGTTACTATTTGAGGAGAAAAGATGTAGGGTGAGAATTTACGTGCGACTTGCCCAGATATTTTTCTATTTAAGATTTATTAACCCACTCATATATCCTTATCTACTTCAATGGTATGAATAAAAACATGTTATCTACTTTACAAATAAAAGATGAGCCAATTCTGCAGGGATGAGGACAGAGAGAAGGTTGGAAATATAGGCAAGCTAAATAGAGGTCCCTCATTCCTCAACTCTAAGGACAAATGTGCCATTGCTCTTTCTTCACAGAAAGCTTACTGTGAAAATCAATAAAATATATATATTTTAAAAAAAAAAGAAAAGTAAAAATACAGTCTATCTGATTAACAAGATCTGGTCTAGGACGGGCAGGGGGTTCTCCCTGGAAGGTGACCACAAAGGGCGGCTATTTCTGGTATTTACCTGGTGAGGCTCCGGTTCACTGGGGCAGGGACCACTCTCTCATTGCAAAGCGGGAGACCCCTCCTAGATCGTGAAGCATGAGGCAAACGCACAACACGTACTGCATCTATATCTAGTTTTCTCCTTTTCCGCCTTGCTCGTATTTTTATCTTTTTTTTTTCTTTCCCTTCCTGGTGTTTCCATTTCTGCATGCTCCATCACTGAGCTGTGATACCTGTGGTTCCTCATACCTGTCACACCTGGGCTTTCGTGCCTTGGCACAAGCTAGGTTCCCTTTCCACTCCGGTTGCCAGAGGGGATAGAATTTGCCGCATCCTATAAACCTTAACCCAAAAAATCCCTCTGCCTGTTCCTCCCTCAGGTTTCAGCTTCAGGGCTGTGTCCTCACCTCTCCCTGATGCCCAAAATCTAAATGATGTACTTTCTTATTTTCTCAGCTTTGTTATTGCCTTTATAGCACTTACACAATTTCTAATGATGTACTCATTATATATCCACGCGTTTTCACACGTTTCCTTAAGTAACACCCGCCTCCCCCCGTGGACTGTAGGCCCTTTTGAGAACAGGGACCTGTCTTTTTTGTTTGGTGTTTTGTATCCAGATGAGGCCTGACCTGAGGTAGGCACTCAATATATATCTGACAAATGCATGACTTGCCTCCTCTGAGAAACATTCTCTAGCTTTGAGCACTCTGTGTTAATGCTTAACTGTACCGTGGATCTCATCTCCCTAGGTGGTCAGCTCCGCGTGATTGCAGCTCACGCACCGAACACCTGCCTGCTTCCTTCTCTCATACCTCACCCCAAGCTCTGCTCCGCCTGAGGCTCACACCCCGTGCCTTCAGATAGCTCTGCGTCTAGCTTTGGGCAGGGAGGGGCTTATCTCCTTATTTATTTTATGTATTTGGCTTTGGAGTAAATATTTATCATCCCCATTGTTCAGTCACTTCTTTAGTCCCTACTCATTCCAATTTCCTCTCCCCCAAAATAAAATACTGTCCTAATTCTTTAGGGCCACATGTCAACTTAATAGGGTAGGACAGTGGTCAGCAAACCACGGCTGGTGAGCCACATGCGGCTCTTTGGCCCCTCGGGTGTGGCTCTTCCAAAAAATACCACGTGCGGGCGCACACGTACAGTGCGATCGAAACTTCGTGGCCCATGCGCAGAAGTCGGTTTTCGGCCTGGGCGAGTCTATTTTAAAGAAGTGGCGTTAGAAGAAGTGGGGGGGAGTCGGTCGGTCGGGCTACGGGAGACGTGGCACAGGCGGGCCGCGGGATACGCAGTATGGGGGAGGCGCGCGTGATTCATGCACGAGTTGAGTGAGCCAGTCAGTCAGCAGTCTCATTGTGCAGTGGTTAGTGCTAGTTGCGTCTGCAAATTGCGCGCAAGTGACAGAAGTACCTACTCAAAGCATAAAGTCACCTGTATTTTTCCAACCAGCTGCAAATCCTACAGGTATTTTTGTCATCAATTTAAGAATTTTAATTATTTTGTGTTGGTGGCTTTATTATTATATTGACATTGGCAACTTTGA